TTGACCCTTCAGACCTCCTACAACTACGACTTCGGAACTGTCTAGACTCCTACTCTACAGGTCTACAGTTCGATTCCCTTCTACCCTGTGACTTAAAAAAAACCTACCTACCACTGGCGGTCCTACAGGTCGCAGGTTCAAATCTACGGGTTGACACTGGTATTGTACACAGGTAAGACGGGGAACTAGGGATCGGGCCCTGGGATCTGCATTCGCTACTGCGAACTGGTGAACACCGTTTCAAGTCCTGGCAGTCTGATTGTTCTGTCTGTTCCATCTGTTTGCATTTTGCCTGTTCGTTTCTGTCTGTTATTCTTTCGTCAATAGTTTTTTTTTCATTACTGTAAAAGCTAGGCTACCAGATGGCCAGGGACCACTCGCCCGGCCTGTCCAAAAAAAAAAAAAAAAAAAAAAAGAAGTCCGGTAAATAATTTCCATGTGACCCTGAGCCAGCCAAAAGTTGTTCAGTTGATTTTTTCTGCATAACATTGTTTTTTTCCAGATTTTTTTTTTTTTTTTTTTTTTTTTTGCTGGGACCTTCTTTCGCCGTTGCACGGATGAACCGCCAAGGCAAACAAGGTGACCCGTGCGGCCCAGCTGGTAGCCTAGTGTGAAAGTTATTTCCATCTGTCTGTTTCATCTAGTATGTGTTTCCTTTGTTCTTTGAACTTCTTTTTTTTTCTTTTTTTTTAAGGGACAAACATGCCTGTTTCCTTTGTTCTTTGAACTTCTTTTTTTTTTCTTTTTTTTTAAGGGACAAGCATGCCCTCCTGGACCTAGTTCCTCCTTATCTGGGGAGCGTCAGTCTGTTTCTTACTCCACCAGCATGTTAAAAATAGTAAAATACATACGCATCTCACTAGAACGCATCTTACTAGAATGCGTCCCCTCTTTTACGGCCTGGGAAACTCTGACAGCATTGATTGCTTCTGTGAAGTTCTTTCTGTTTTGTTTTTTTTTCCCCGAATCTTTTTGTTTGTTTTTCAAATTTTAATCTTTCTGAGTGTCATCTGTTTGTTCCATCTCTTCGTTCTCTCTGGCTTTTCTGTTCACCTTCGAAAAGCTTTTATGGATGTGACTCATGTGAGTGTCCTGATGTACCACAGCGAAGAGGCAGGGGAGACTGATTGCTGGTATATGGACTGGAATTCTTGAAACTTGGGCGATATATATTATATATGCAATGACGTGCTGACTTTGCCTGCCGAGATCTGACTGCGAGGCTGTACAGTAACAGCGGTAGGGTTAAATTCGTAATTTTGTTTGTGTCAGGGACTAACCGAGAGTTCAGTGCTGAAGGAAATTCGTGAGGGAATCCCCTTAGACCGCACTGCGAATAGCAGGCCGGGGCTATCACTAGGACGGGAGGCTATGGCCTAGGCCCGTAGCATGAGAGCCTATAGCCGGGTAGGTAGAGGCCCTAGAGGCCCAAACTGAAACGGTACCGGTCGGTCCAGTCCGTGTGTAGGTCTAGGCTAGTCTATTAATAGAACTAGGTCGCTAGTGTTAGGGCTTTTTGCGGTTTTGATTTTCGCGTCACAGCGTTTTGAACCAAGCAAGTATGGTGTAGACGATTGCCTACAGGCGACATCCTGAGACCTTCGTCGGGGACGGTAGCCATAGCCAGCCTTCTGGAGTTCGCCATAGCTGGGGCGTCCTCTGAGCATCCACTCCTGAGGGTGCTTGTGATCGGCTGGGCTATCCTGAGGCTCTACATGGTGTTCGGGTGGACCACTGTCGCTGCATCTTCCTCTGAGATCGTGCGTGGCATCTACAGTGGCGCTGCAGCCATAGCTGCAGCTTTCTTCGTCAGAGTGGCTCATCGGCACTGAGGATTACATCACAGCTCCTGTTCTTCATCTAGGTGGTTGGCATAGGCCTCTGGGAGACTGATGTTGTGTAGCGCTACTAACTGGGTGTAGTCTAAGGAGTGTGTTGTGTGGTTCTGTGGGTGGCGAGATACTGAGACAAACTCTGTAACGATATTGGTTCAGATCCGCTCAATCTTCGACTGTTCTTTTGTTATCCTCGCAGGTGTCTTCTTGTGATTGGTTGTTGGGAGTACTGTCAGACAGTGAGAAACACTCAGTGTTATCTCCACACCTGTGCATAGTCGTTTTCCGCTGCTTACTCTGTCCGTGTGCGGTGTGTACTCTGTCTCCAATCCCCTTCTTCTTATGCATGTATGGGCGTGCGTGAGATTGTCTGCGTGTGAGTGTTGGTGAAAATCGTCAGACAACGATATATATATATTCTTCAATTTATAGATCATTTCTCAATTTATGTGTATCATGATGTCATCCTTTTGCATGGGCCATGCTAATTTTTTTTCTCTGTATTGTTCCAATTTCAACTGATGTCCCGCAGGACAAAACTTGCCCGATACTAACATGTCCATTTTTTTTAATTTTTTTTTAAAAGTTAACAGCTCATGCATGATGATTCACTAAGACTTTGAATTTGCTGCGACCTTGCTGAGGCAGATTGTGTAATAGCTTTTACAATGCTTACTTCCCAGATTCGACAGACAATTGAAAGCCAGTGAGATTGACTGCCCACCTGCCAAATTGACGGTTAGTTAGAGAGAACAAAGCACCTGCAGAAACAGGAAAAAAAGGAGTCAAATGGGAAAAGGAGAAACGAACTGGGCCCTCTCCAGATTCGGCAGGCAAGTGAATTGGTTGGGATTAAAAGATTTAGCCTTTTTCTGTTTTACAACCCAAAAAAAAGGAGGAAAAGAACCAAACAGAAACTTGTTAGTTGAAAAAAAAAAGGTTCGTTATTTATTAATTTTACGTTGGTATATTCACTGTCCAGTAGATACATAAGCGGGAAAGGAGTGTGCTGTGAGTCATTTTGGTAGGCATACAGTAAAAAAAGGTAATCATTGAAATGGTATTCACCAGTTCGCAGTAGCCGATGCAGATCCTAGGGCTCGATCCCTAGTGCCCACCTTACCTGTGTACAGTATCTGTGTTGACCCCTAGAGTTGAACCCGTGACCTGTGTATTTGTAACAGTTCGTAGACTGTCGTAGGGTCCATAGGTAGCAGGGGTTCGATCTGTCGACCTGTCGAGTAGGAGTCTTAGTCAGGTCTAGAAGTCGTAGCTGCTACAGTCCTGAAGGGTCAAGGTCGTAGCTGCTACAGTCGTCGAGAGGCCAGGACCCAGACTTCCGGAAGGTCCTAGTAGTGGCCTTTCGAAGTTGCTCACGTTTTGGCTGAGGGAAGTGGGCAAGTGGGCAAGTGGTGAGCCCAACTGCAGTACGTCGACAGTGCGACTGCATAGAGTTAGCAGTGCAAACCCGTGCAGTCGGCAGCACCGGTCCCAGTCAGTCCTAGTCCAGTCAAGCAAGTACCGCATGGGACTGTGTGCACCACGGGCAAGGGAAAGGGCCAGACCAACGAGCTACAGAAGTATAAATCAAAGGGCAGCGTCCAGCCATTCATCCATTCCTGCGTGAGCCATGCGGAAGCGCTGCCACAAGCGACTTGTGCGAGGTGGTCTGCAGTGAACCCGAGGACGAAGTGGGCAAGAGAGAAGGAGTTTAGCCATAGCGATAGGATAACAGCGGCCATGGCCGCCATAGCCGCCATAGCTGTAGATAGGGTGCAGTGTGTGTGTGTGTGTGTGTGTGTGTGTACAGAGTATCGTGTGTGGGATATCCAGGGTGATCCTGTGTGTGCGAACAAAGAGTTGTGTGGGCGCTGTGTCGCCATAGCCATTGAAGTGAACTTGTATCTGAACTGTGTTCTCGGCTACCATATCTCTGAGTTTTGAGTGGGCGCTTGCCGCCAGTTTGCTGCGCACCTGTTTGCATACATGTGAAGTGTGAAGGAAAGCGACTCTGATTGCATTGGTATCAGAGCTGGTACCCGCTATTCCACGCGCCGTCGGGTATTGCAGGGAAGAGCTACGCGCCATAGCCAGAGTGGCTATCGAAGAAGAAGTTCGCCATAGCGGACCTGGAGGTTGAAGAAGCCGCCGCGCGCACCTGCAGAGAAGACCACGATGAAGAA